TTTAATAACTGGTGGTGCTGATTATCTTGCACGTATTTGGAATCCATATGTAACACAAAAAAATATAACCATTTTAGAGGGACATCATGCAGCAGTGATCGATGTTAAAATTAATGAACGTTTAGCACAATGTTATACATTTAGTCAAGATGCTGTATGTTTTTTTTAGTTTTTTTTCTTCTATAAAAATTTTAATTTTAATTCTTTTTATTTCATTATGACAAAGATGGTTAAAGCTTGGGATTTAAAAGAATTCTTTTGTCTTCAAACAATATCTATTCGATTTCCGAGTACATTAGGTGGAAAGAAACCAACATTTGGTCCATTTCCAATGGATTTATATCTTAATAAATCAACTAATAATACTGAAACAAGTTTACCCGGTGGTCTAGTTGTAGCATGTAATGATTATTTATGTTTAATGAAATTAGGACAAGATCTATCTAAAGATGGTAGTCTAACTGAAACACATACAGCATCAATTAGTTGTGCAGTATATAATCCTAAACTTCGACAGGTACTTTTTTTTCTAAATTGAAAAATATATTTCATTATATATATATATATTTAAGTTAATAACATGTGCAGATAATTCAAGTATAGGTGCATGGGATATTGAATCAGGTCGTAAAGCATATTTTTTAATTGATGCACATGATGGTGAAGAAATTACATGTATTTCTATTGATCGATCATGTCGAAAACTTGCAACAGGTGCTCGAAATGGTGTTATTAAGATTTGGAATAGTGCTAATGGACAAAATCTTCTTACATTACCAAGTGTACAAGATGCTGAAATTACGGGTATTCTATTTTTTGATAAAGGCATTATTACAGTTGGATGGTCAAGAAAAATTGTTAAATATATAGATATTATTTCTGAAGTAAGATATTATTTCTTTCGATTTTATTTTATTTTTTTTCTTTTCTTTTTTTTGTTTTGATTACTATATATATACATTTGCAGGATATAAATGATGATCAGATGAATACTGGAGAGGTACTTTTGATCGAATAAATAAATATGACATATGTTCACAGAAGGATTGATGCACAAATTGAATTAACACATTAATATATTTGTCTTTTTTTTACAATAGCAACATGTTTGATTTGAAAGAAAAATTTAATAATAAATTTCATTTGAATTTTTTATATATTTTTATTTAGTTTGTTGTACCTAAAGCTGATTTATCATGGCGTGGTTTACAAACACATCGTGATGATATCTTATGTTTGGAACATTTATTACCGATTAGTAATATAATGTGTACAGCTTCATATGATGGTGAAATTAATGTATGGAGTATTGATACAGAAAAATTAATTATGTGTTTACGTAAAGGACCGATAACTGAATTGTAAGAAAATCATTTTTGATTATATTTTTCATATTATTATTGATTGAATTTTTAGTCGTCGTTCACCATCAAATTATCGTCGATCATCATCACGTTTTCCAATGACACGTGGTCCAGTACCAGTTGATAAACTTCTCTTTCTTCGACATCGTGCTAAAGAAAATATGAAATTTGGTGCGTAATTATTAAAGAAAGAACGAAAACTATCATTTTTATTTCTCATATGAATAGGTGTTTTAATATCAAGTGAAGGTGGTAATTTATACTGTTGGTCACTTTATGGTGAACGCAAGGATATGGGAATGTTTTACGGACCATCAAAACGAGGTGAATCAATATTAGCTATGTGTACTGATGCAACTAATCGATATTTGATTTGTGGTGATACTCATGGTGAAATGCGTGTATGGAATATAGAAAACTATTGCTGTTCAATAACGTCACCTATTCCATTTGATTCAACAGCACCACCACTTGTACGTTTTTGGCAAGCACATCTTTCACCAATTATCTTTTGTGAATGGACTGATTATAAAGGAAGTGGTGATTTTATATTAACTAGCTCAACAGATCATACAGCACGTTTATGGACAATAAATGGAGAAGAACTTGGAATATTTGGTCAAAGACAACAATGGGATATTGAATTATTACTTTCATCAAGAGCAATAAATGATGATGAACAAATTAGAGAACAAAGTGAAAATAATAATGAAAATGATCAAAATGGTTTGTATAAATAGAAATCATAATGATTATGTATACGATTTATTTTTTATTTTAATAGAAACAAAATTAACAATCACGGATAAAACTAATAATTTACAAGTGCCTGAAATTGCTATAAACAGAGAAATGGACGCTAAACGACCATTATCATCATATTCTCAAAATTCTGAAGTATATTTACAAATGTATATATATATTTTTTTTTTATAAATATTCCTTTGTTGTACTAGGCTACTAACATATCTAAAATAACTGCATCTACAGTAAATAAGGCAACATTACCACCGGTACGAAAACTTCATTGAATATTTATTTATTTTTTTTCTTGTAATTTCTATGCTTCATAAACGATTTCATTGATGAAAAATAGTTTTTATTTTTCTGAAAATATTACAAAACTATGTTGAAATCTTGAATAAATATTTTCATAAGATTAATGTGAAATATATTTTAGCGTGTAAGTGGACTTGGCTTATCAATCGAACGAGGATTAAATCAACAAAAATTAAAACGACAAGAACGACGTCATCGTTTTAGTGAAATTGATGGTCGTCATTTAACCAAAGGTGGAGTTTGTTGTACACCATTCGCTTTACTTTCAACTCAGGTATCAAATTTAATTTATCTATTTGTATTTATCTTGATTAATCTAGGATATTGATGATGCTATATCTAATGTAAATTATCAGAATTTTCAACCAAAATCAATAGTTTTCGAAGAATTATACATGGGCAATAAAAATGATTTACCATCGACAACAGCTGCAACATCTAAAAGTCGACTTATTCTTCCACCAATAATGTCACGTCAACGAACATCATCATTTGCAAGTAACATAACGTCAATACCAGGAACACCATCCGATGTTGATGCAAATAATCGATTTCCATTATCATCAAGACAAACTACATTTATGAAATCGATTTCCGAAATATTATAAATACTTTTTTTTTAAATTTTTGTTTTCTTTATTATTAAGAATTGTTTATGTCCAGCAACTTTTTTTTTTTTTTAATATATTTTTTTTCATTTTGTTCTTCTATTCAAGTTATAATTCTCGCATAATATTCCATCTTATTGTCAAACAAATAAAATATGACAGTTAAGACTTAATCGATTAAAAGTCATGTAGAAAAAAACATTCAATCTACATCGAGTAATCAAAAAACTCCCACAGCTACAGTGTAACATTTTATCCTCACTGTTTTTCTTCTTTCATAATGAAGTGACTGCTGTCGATAGACAAGGTTATGTTTCATTTCATACAATTGATGATAGAGTTTATCGATTTTCAAATAAGTGAGGAGTCGTTGAAAGATGATCCTCGAAGTGATTGCCCAATAATTGTCATTACTCAACAAAATATTAATACTATTAAAGATCTGGTAGATGATGATCCGCATATTAGTATTGATTATTTTGCTACCATCTTAGATTTATTACGCGATAGTGTAGATATTATTCTCAAGCAATGCCTTGGCTTACTAAAAATATCGTCAAGATCGATATTTCATGAAGTTACTCTACAATATCTTCGAAATATGACAGAAGCTTTTGGTCAAATATCAGATTTATGACATACACCAGAGTTGTCATTCAAGACTAGCGGAAACAGGTGAATTCACAAAGTTTGTTCATGTGATAAAATTGATATTAGGGGCAAAATTTTGTTTTGACTACCTACAGATTGTTACCGTTGATTTTTTGGAATATTTATATTGCCATTAGTTTTATTTCTAATTCGATTACATGACTCTTGAAGACAATAATACAGGCCCAACATTGGATTTGTAATCGGTCGAGAAGTTTTGAACTGATTCTGTTTGTAGGATCCAAATTTTAGACGGATCAGATCTGGTCTGTTCAAAAACTCTTTTAGATTGATAAGAACAGGTAAACACCAACCAGTCTCTGATAGGTCATTACTATTTTAATTAATGAAACAGGCTAAAAAACACATGTATCATGCTTTTGTCGCTTAGGTTTTTACAGATCCTTAGGAGTAAAAAACCATATCTCAGTCGTCGTATATCTGTTTGGTTTCTCAAAGATGAATATTTGATATTTGTATAAATAGCATGATAAAAAAAAAGTCATTTACCGATTAACTGATTGACAAACTCCAAATCTTGAATCTTCTCATTCAACTCATACAGACGAATCTAACATGTATCTTTGAACGATTATCGAAACCTAAATTTAATCTTCAACAAAATATCTATGAAATAAGTTTATCTCAAATATTACAGTTTTGATTGTAATTTTAAAAAAAAAGAAAATATTATTGACTAAAGAAGTGAAACAATAGGAACAAACAGAACAAAATAATAAAACGAGCAACTTTCGAAACAACACTTTGACTATTTTGATAAAAGTATGCACACGTGCACTTAACAAGTTTTATTAGAAAAAAAAATGGTACATTATCAACAAAAGACCAATCAATCCAGCCGGACCGGTTACAACTCTGCTTGAAGCACCAAAAAACAGCTCCGGAACAGACTTGTAGATGAATCATCGCTGATACTACTCGAATTCACTACTAACTTCATCCACGTCAAGAAATAATTATCCTAAGAATTCAACAACAATTTCATCTAACTAATATCAATGATTTTTCTGTTTTCGAAAACCAAAATTTGCAACTAAATATTTATTATTTCTTTTTAAAAATAAATTCTACATATAAATGCACAAAACACAAAATTTAAAAGGCACCAAAAACACAAAATGCATATTTTCATTAAAACAAGATTCAAATATCATTGAGTACTATCAGACATACACCCACATAAACAAAAAAAAACGCAATAAAAGTATAGAAAATAAAATCGATAATTATAAGTGGAGAATAACCATCATTCATTGGAATATGAAATTAACCCAAAAAAAGAAAAATATACGTATATTCATAAAACTTGATAAATACTGAGATAATCATAAGTAAAAAGTTTTTTAAAATATGGTTGAGGATGAGATTGAAGAGTTTGACATGCAAGAGTTGTACGTGTTAAGATTTTTTGATCTTGTTCATCAATATCATACATTTCAGGAAATGAACATCCTTTTGGACGATTTGTTATTGTACACCAATGAGATTCATAAATATAATAATCAACATGATATTGTTTTAATATTGAATATATATAACGAAGTGGTTTTCTTGAAAACATTGCATAAACAAGTTTAACACGATGACGAATTTTTCTATGTTCATAATGAGGATGAACAATAATTGGACGACGTGTTGATAATTTTAAATTAGCCATTGTTGGCATTGTACCAGCAAATATTGATTCATTTCCAGTATTTAAATTAATCCATTCAATCATTTTTTCCATTGGATAATTAGAATATTCACCTAGAAAAATAATTATATGTTTCTTACTTTCGTGTTTAAGGAATAAAATATTTCTGATTGCAAAAAAAGGATAAGAAAACAGAAAACAAATTTATCTGATTTAGAAGTAAATGAAAAAAATAAGTAGTGAACAATCATGATGAACTGATCAGATAATGTTTGTTTTATTATTATTATTTACCTTTTATTTTCAATTGTGCTTTGATATTTTGTCGTCCTTGAATACTCATGCTGAGAAGAATCAAAATAAAAACTATTAATTTCCATTTTTTCCATGTAATAAATTTTCTTGGCCATAATTGTTCATTCATAAATAAACTTACCAAAAGACATAATTGTGGAACAAGAAATAATTTTAAACGCATTATTAATAAAGCCATCAATAGATAAGCACCTGTTTGAATAATATGATAATAATTCCATATTTGTTTATTTTCATTATTATTTTTTTTAAATATATCCATAATAAAATCATATACTAAACGACAGATGATTATCATTGAAAATGGAATAAGACCAGTTCGACATAATTTTACTATTGTTTCCATATCAATAAAATCAAACTCTTTTGCACATGTATATAATTGAGTATCAAATGTTCGGAATGTTGAGGATAACTTTGACCTTAATATATCCCAAATATGAGCATCATCATCAGCTGATGAAAAAAGAAAATTAATTATGACAAATTTAATTAAAATAAATGCAACAAAAAAAAGAATCATTCGACGAATAATAATAATAATCCATCGACATGATTGGAATGAAAATGATGAATGAAGAAAAAAATTATCCACAAGACAAACCAAATAAAATGAAAATAATGTTATTGAAAATAGAGAAGTTAGTAACATTCGATTACCAAACATTAATACAGCTGATATTATTAATGAAAGAATTTGAGCAGATAAAATAAAGAAAAATTGATGGAATGGTAAAATATTAAGTATATACAGAAGACCAAGTGATAATAATTGAGTAGCTAATGTAAATTGAGCAACTAAACATAAGAATGCGACAATGATTGCAAATAGGATAGTTATCGTTAATTTTGAAAAAAAAAATGTTAAGTTTTTGTTTTCGAAATACGTTTTATATCATTAAGAATGAACAAATCATATTCACTCATTGATAATGTTTATCAAAGAGAGAATAGAGAAAAGAAAATAAGAAGCTTTTTAAGTTTTTTTAAATAAACGAAAAATAAACAAAAAATTGTGAAGCGTCAATCTAAAAATTAAAAAAAGAAGAATGTCTTTTCTGAAGGTTTTTGAGTTGCATCAAGTAAAACTATAACACAATCAGCATAGACGACAATGATGAACATCTTTTAAGTACTAGTCTTGAATCTTGAGACATGAAACAACCAGAAGGTCACCAAAAAATCACTAATTGTTTCATTCGAACAAGTAGTCAATCCTATTGTGTTTTAGTGTCCTGATATTTATTGATATGTGTTTATTACTTTGTCAAGATATGATATTTCAATCTATGGATCAATGGAAAATGAATCTATTATAATATATCTTGTCACCATAGAATGAAAACTATGGTACTAATGTCTATTTGATCTCCCTTATGCTATACTTCGAAGTGAACACCAACAAACTTTCAAAATATAGCTTTATATTTGAAACTAATATTTCAAGTAAAAAATTACTTTTCGCGATGTAAAATTAGATGTAAGTGGTAAATTATGAACTGTTATGTCTCGTTGGCTTTTTTATCATACATTACTATATTCAAATTTGATCTATTCTTTTGAAAACATGGCACTCAAATATTATTTGATATTGCTTGTGATAATGAAGAAAGATTCGATTTGAAGTAATAGATAAATTTAATCCGATGTCTTATTTATATTTCATTTAGTTAAAACAAATCGAATCATGATGTACTCTTCGAAAATAGCCGTCAACAAATATGCAAAACTCCATAGATAGGAAAGAAAAACAAAATAAGCAACTGAATGATGTAGAATTAACTGATTTTGACATGTCAATCCTTATTCAAAAATTTATCATCAAAAAATCTTGTATATCTATTAATATTTTCAACAGTTAAATAAAATGTCATGCTGCTCAACATCGTAAAAAGGTATTACAGTCTCAGATTTCATCAGAACATTGACATAAATGAATAGTAATCAATTGTCTGATGGAGGTGCTCATTATATTGTTCAAACACTTTATGAGCAATACAAATTTGAATAATCTTCATATTAGTAAATATAAAATTAATACTAGAGAAGCTAAACTTCTGGCTCAAGTTTTATATATAAATTGAACATTGTAGAACTTTTCTGTTGAAATGAACTCTACATATGATTATGATTTCTAACAACACATTCAAGCCTAATTTAAAACTTAACTGTGGCTAAACTAAAACTTCACAATAATAAATTCATTACAGATCTTCTATTATTACTTTTTATGAACGCTTGAAAATGAATCACAAAGCAAACATATTTAAATATTATAGATTTTGAAATCACTGATAAATCTATTAGACTTATCGAGAGTTCTTTAATGTTCAACAAAACTAGCACTCAATTGCATGTATTTAGAAATGCATTTCAAGCTCAAGAATAACATCGACTACGCTAAGTAAAAAAAAAATAGTCAAATTAATTTTCTAGATTATTAGCTTATCTAATAACGAGTGAGGCAAACCAAATTGCCTATCTTTGTGACATCTATTGTAATTAATTGTTCAACCATATCTAAAAATAAAAAATTTCGAAAGTAAAAATGACTAAAAAGGAACTTTGATCGCAGCTATAGTTTTTGTGCAGACGTACAACTTTCCTGAATTTTGTTCGAAGTTGTAACCTATGATAATCATCAATATTGTTTGACAATCAAGGAATCAGAAGAATTGTATGATTTCACAAAAACTGTACCTATGAACAAAGTCACTTTTTTAATCATATTGTACTTTCGAAATTTTTTATTTCCAAAATGATTTATATCAGATAAGTTATCTATATGAGAATATAGAGCTTGGCTTGCTCTTTCCGATGCCGTACTTTGTTTTTTAAATAAGTTTGAACAGTTGATTACAATAGACGTCACAAAGACCAACCATTTAATCTGTCTCATCCATTATATAAAACCTATATTACTTTAGTTTTAATTTTTGAACAATAAAAATAGAAAAGACGAATATTGAGTCCTATGATATACTATCCTAAAGTTTCTTAGTATAATTTAATTTTTGTCAAAGATACTTACATTGCCATGGCAACATGTATAAAACTGTGGAACCAATAAGCAATAAAACAAGTTTTATTTTGTGTCTATGAGATATTAAATTTTGTGGTGAATCAACATGTATTGATTCATCATTTTTCTTTATATATCCTATGAGAGATTTAATAGCATTAGTATTAGTCAATATTTGTTGTTGTTGCAAAATATATGTGACAACAAACAGTTGAAGAACATGAAACGGAAATGAAAAACTTTCACGAAGTGGTGGTGTCCTAAAAAATATAATAAGAAAACTCTTCGTAAAAATATTTTCTTTAAAAGAAATTTACCACATAACTCTTGTTGCTTCATCATGATTGAATATATAAGCAAGTGTTGTTATTATTCCACCTAATATACTTTTTGATAAATATGTTCCAAATAAAAATAAAATACCAAGTAAAAGTCCATTTAATATAAAAACACTTGTTACATAGAAATAAGTTGGTTCTTTATGTCCTTCACATGATAAAACTGGACTCATAGTTTGACCTCGATCAATCCGATAACATATTTCTGTTAACATACCTTGAGAATTCATAATACGATAAATTAAACTAAGTAAAACTTCTGGATAAAGATTAAAACGTTCTAAAACATTAATTGTTGTTGGTGCTTCTGTTCGATTATCAGATATAATTGATAAAAAACCTTCTATAAATGATGATGAATCAATAGCAATCTGTTTAAAATATGAATAATAGAGACCCATTTCCGTACGAAATGATAATTCACGTTCTAATGTTGATAAATGTGAAAAATGTTTATCATTCTCAAATAATTCATATATATATATAAAATGAAAATAGGATATAACTAATGTAAGAATTAATAAAACCAAAGGATAGCCAAGAGAAGATAGCTATAAAGAAAAATCAATTTAACTGAAGTAAATATTAGATATTGATAGTTTTCTTTTTTTTGTTTTTCAAAGAAATAGAAAATCAATATATTTAAAGTGTACGTAGTTGTACGCATAATAACTTAACTAATTAGAATAAATTAGCTAATCTAACAATAACTTTTGCAGTTGATTCAATCATTTTTCTATTCACTGTTACTTGACTTATATTCCAGCAGTATCATGAAAACTTATGATCAATATACCTTGGGAATTACATATGCGTACTAGAGAATAAATTAACTCAAACTATGACTTAGTTGATGAGCGATCTATCTTTTTAATTAGTTTTGTTTTTCAATAGATGCTACACATATAAAAATAATTGATCAGAATAAATATACAATAAGAACAATTCATATGTTCATTTTATTTTGATAAATCTTCTATCAATAATTATTTGATTATGAAAATACCTTTATCTGAGAATAACTTTTATTTTTTTCTGCTCTTGTTTCTGTTGATGAAGGAATCTGTTGTTTATTCTTTGTTCCTTGACGATGTCGAACTGTCGATTGACAATCTTTCGGCATCTGAAAAAATAAATTTGATCTAAAAGAAAAAAAAATCAAAAAAAAGTTATTTTGTTTTTATTTTGTTGCTAATCCAATCAAATTAAATCGAATATCGCCATGAAGTTCATTCACTTTTTGTTTTACTTCTTGAGTCACACGAGAAAAAAAACTTTCATTATTCAAATCCCCAATGAATTTTGCTTGTGGTCGTTTTGTACTACCATTCAATTCATATAATCGATTGCTCTTCGATACAATATAGGCTATGTAATGGTAGCCAACTCTACCACTATCAATCATTTCAGTTTGTCCTTGTTCAGCTGTTTCTTCATGAGCTTGATGAATATTTTTATCATTTAATAAGACTACAGCTCGTTCATCAGCAGTCATTGTTTTAGTTTTTTCAAAAAATTCAGCCAATGGAGAATTTGGTTTTAATATCACTTTATCCAAATTATTACCGATTGCATGAAGAAGAGCAATAAGACAACAACAACTATCTAATTCATCAATTTGTTTAATTGTCCATAATTTATCATCCATCAGCGGTTGAGATACGTTTGAAGTAGGTAACGAACCACTGTCTGGATAAAGGAAAATATAAGCATATATTGCATCATTACATGAATAATTTTCATCTAGTGAATAAATTTCAATAAAATCAAGTGAATTAACATCGACACCTAATTTTTCCATATAGATCTGCCATAAATCAGGATCTGATTCAAGTGCATGCCAGGCATTTGATGAAGACATCTGAAATATAAAATGACTGATCAGTGAAGTATTGTTTGTTTGTTTTTTTTGTAAAAATAACAAATCAAAATTTAAAAAAAAAGACACGTAACCACGGGAAATAGCAACACATGATACAATGTTGAAAAAACAATGCATATCGGTGACTGTGTTTGGCATCATGATATGTATTGAATTGTTTCAGTTACGTTAAGAATGAATTATTATAGCATTCATGAGCAACTTTTTCAATGAAAAATATTTCAAGGATTATTAGGAAATGGAATGTCGACTACAGAAAGATCAATTCATTGTTCTTTTCATCAAGAACAACAACAAAAAAAAATGAATATATAATACGAGCAGCAGAAATTGATTAAAAAACTTCATCATACTGGCGAACGAAAAGAGAACAAGAAAAGAATGATTGGTGTTATGTGACAACAAATACAGTGGACATTCTAACAAACGTTATAAAGTCGACGGAGGTCGCTTGTCAACAAAAAACTGTTGAAGAAATGTATTCAATGTTTGTCAAATAAAAACAGAAAACATAGAATTTTTAATGTAAACAATAAGAGCTTGCTATCAATAACTGGACATAAATATTAAATACAAGAAAAATTTGAAGCATCTTTACCAAAATAAATTATGAAAAAACCATTTTGTCAAAAAAAACATACTGAATGAAAGTCGTACAAAAGAATTTGTCAAAAGATCGGGTTGGTTTTATTAGTAAAAATAAGCCTCATATGAAAGATAAAAAGCTAAAAGAAAGTATTACTAATCATACGTATATTAACTAATCGAATAGACATCATGACACTAGTAGAGTTGTTTAAAAAAAGCAATAATAAGGTTATAGTAAAGTATTTAAACAAAACTATGTTACTATATGAAGTAGCTATGTATCGATAAATTGTATTTACTCCTGAAGAATATTTATTTCCTTATCAATAAGTCATACAAAACCAAGAGCCTACCATATTATCATTGAATTTGTCTTTAGTTTTTTGCTCTCATATTGTTTCTCGTTTGTTGTCATAGCTACATTTTCAATTTGTGTTCACGTGCTTTTGATAACTGAGATCTATTAGAAGAAAAGTCCTTTTTTAATCAACAAACAATGCTATTTGTATTTTAGTTGCGTTATTTACAGCTGAAAAACCTATTCTTACGAATATAGTATCAGCTGAGTATGAACTTTTATCTTCTGTATCTTAAAAATCAATTTATCTTGCCAATAGGTGAGCTAATCTTCTTGTTTCTTGATGTTTTATATAGCATTTTGTAGCTTTTGAAATTCTCTATCGAATGGTATATAATAGTTGGGGTTTTACTAGACTATGATAGGAAAAGTCTTTTACGAAAGTGGGGATGGGTCGATTTTCCCATAGGAAGCCATAGGGAAAAATGAGTATTTTTGCAATAACTCAGGAACGGCTCGGCCGATCCTTCTCATCTTCGAACTCTACCGAGATATTTTTAAGACTGAACTGTATAGAAAATTTCATCGTGATCGGACTCTGCTTTCTAAAGTTATCGTGTAAACGGCCGGCCGGACGGACATACTGACCGATTCTAGAGTGTACTCACTTTTTGAGTACACAAAAAACAAGTCAACATATGCAATGTCATACATATTATTCTGTTCTCATCAAGGAAATTTCAAAACTTCCTTACTCTAAATATCGTTATTTTTTTTTTACTTTTCTTTATGTAGAATAGACGTGTATGAATCATTTTTTAATTCTTTATTTTATTTTCTCTCTTCAAAATAATATTCTATTTACTAAAGCTCGTTAATCGAATAAAGAATATGAAATTGATTAACCAACTTTTGCATAATATAAATGATCAATCGTTTGTTTTTATTTTTGATTAAAATTTTTCGTTGCAACTACAAATCTTGTTTATTAAATTTTAATAAATTATACAAAGCAACACTCAAACAAATGTCTCGATAGTTTGACTTTTTGATTGTTTAACAATTAATAATGGTATTTGAGATTGGTCTTTCGACAAAAACGGAACGATTTCTAGTTTAGGTGAATTGTCTTTAATAGGAGTATAAGTAACCGGTAGTACCAAAAATGATGATTCTTTTGTTTTTTCATTATTTTTTTCATTCATTTGCAAAGAATAATTTGCTGATGATCGTCGTTCTAATTCACGAATACGTTCTTGCAAGTTTTCAATACGTTTTTCCAATAATTGCTCACGTGGACTAGGTTTGAAATTTTGATTAGATGCTAACATAGATTCATATTCCGTCAAATCCTATGAATATTATATAATATTATTAGAAAAATATTTATTAAACAACAAAACATTAACGTTAATACTTGATGACTTACATTATCTTTGTTAGCACGTTTAGATCGAGCCCAAAAATGTACAGAACCATTTTCACACAGAAGAATAATAACAGCAATAAGACTACCAGCAAGAAGAAGAAAAAATGCTGATACGAAGTTTAGTGTCTAAATGAGAGAAAAACAAAATTATAAACAACAAACATTATTAAAAAAAAACAAACACTTTCACCTCGAGTGGTCGACTACTACGTTGTGATTGTTGATCCACATTAGATTTACAAGCACCTGATAGTAAAATAAAAATGTCTATTTTGTTAAACTTCATTCAAATAGAATTTTTTAACCTGTAAACCAAAACCGTCGAAGACGTTCAATTTCACCTAAAACAAACGCTAATTAAATTTATTTAAAAGATCAAGAGATTTCAAACCAGAATGATGCATATCAATAATTTCTTTATTAATCATATCTTTGAATTTTGATTGTTTCGGAAATCCAATACCATAACCAGTCATTGCATACCAATTTCCAACAACACGTAAATTGCATTCACTATCTTGTCCACTTTGATAATCGAGAACAACTGCATCATATAAAAATGCATGTAGTTCTCTACAAACATAAAACAAGAATTAAGTGAAAAGATTAAAATGAAACACACAAAAAAAAAATGAATTTTTATTTCTACCCAGATTTGATTGCTGCGATTCCTTCAGAAATGTTTCTCTTCATAAATCGTTTCAAATATGAATATAATTCTTTATGATTTCTTTTGACAACTTCATCAGTGCTCTAAACATAAGAAAAACAAATTGACTATCGAAAAATTAATCGGAAATCTTTGTTTTTTCTTCCACTGCTTATTATAAATAGAACAATGTACAACAAGTATAAATCGTGATTTTTAGTTAATGATCTCCTAATCCTAGTTGTTTAAATTGAATTGAAATACAAGAACTTAAGTTTATTCCAGAATTTTATGCGATCGATTATTAAGATAGACTTAGAATTTTTTATTACAGAATTTACAAGTTGAATAAAGATTGAACAAAAAATGAGTGTAAAAGTTTGATATGTGTATTTGAGACCCTCAGTTTGTTTCAATTTTTTAACCTTTTTTTTGTTTCATAATAAAGATGAAACTTTCGATAACAAGTTATGTACGAATGCTATTATTACATAACCTCTTTTAATAACAAGAACCAGATAAAATAATAGCAGATAATCAACAAATCGATCGAAATATCCGATTCATTATCTACTTAAATAGATTATTAGAGATACAAAAATTTATATTTGAATATAGGAAAGAGATTCACACAGTTCTCTATCTATTAAAATCATGAGCCTGAATTGATTAAACATTTATATAGTACAATAACAACTTTTTTCAGACCTACTTCTTTACACGCATGCAAAATCAGAAGCTTGAGTATTGTTCAGTAAAAAAAAGTACATTGATTTGGGGCGTTATTCATTATCCAATATTTATCAGCGTATGGTGGCAATCCTTTATTACAAAGCAGAGTATTTAAATAGGCTTATTACTTTAAAAATGGATAATTCAACATTGATGATGATCCGACAGTGGGCTGACAAATTACTGCTACGGACGAAACAACTATTAAACCTGTTGGAGATTTAACAATCGAGAACTGTCGAACCACGATCCAGAAAATACCAAACATTCTAGATATTTCCTTTGGCATCAGGCATAGCATTAACCATGATCAGTTACGAATGAAACTTTTTTTTTGAATGATAACTGGCCATCAAAACTGTGAGAAGAAAAATCTACTAACAAAGTTTCATATTCATATTCTTGGATTATGCAAGAATAATTCTCAAAACGTCTGTACCACTGAGTTTGACAATCGCTAAATGACATTACACATATCTTTTGATAAAAAGAACACATCCAGACATTAGAAAACAAAAACGAGGTATAATTTCGGCTGTTGTCAT